TGAATCTCAGGGCCTAGCTCCACGACTCAGTGGTACACACTGAATGAATAACATCTGAATGAATCTTCTGCTAAAACATGGAACAATAAGCCGAATGAATAACATCTATACATATTCAGAAGAAGACAGAAAGGAAAAAACGAGAGAGCTACAGGCAACTTCACCCCCACTGTACGTATTCAGAAGAAAACAAAAAGAAAAAAATGAGAGAGCTACAAGCATCTTATTCCTAACCCATAACTGTCGATATGCAGACCTGAATGCCAAACTTCAGCATATATTGGTGGTCGGCGGGATGCCCATGTGTGTGTGTACATGGTGTTGATTGTCCTGTTGGGGTTACTCTTGGTTTCTTTTCCTACTCCTTTGTGGTCTTGATTGTGAGTATGAGTATGCAAACTACTTTCTCACGTGATGGATGAAGAAATTAGGTATCTTGCTTTGGACGCCATATCTTTCTACAGTGCATTGTCTTTTTGTCTCTGAACGGATATAGACTGTAGGTTCTCTGTGAAGTTGAAATTCGTTTTCCAGCTCGGTAGATGCAGAAAGTAGGTCCATGGGGGACTCTTCTTGGTTGGGACTAGGTCACGGCCTACTTGGGACCCGAATCGATCCACAACATGCAACAAAAAGCGTATAGGCGGCAAGCGGTTTAGAGGCACCGACCGCTTTGTTGTGCATGACCTGCTGGAGGCTGACAAGGAAGCCTCTGCAGATGACCCCACTCTTTGTGACGATCAAGAGCAAGACTTTGATAAAAGCCTATTCATATTAAGCCCATGAATCTGATATTAATAACGATTAAAAAAAAACTAATGCCTTTAGAAAGTCTGCCAATGTGAAAGGGCCAAACCAGAACTCAGGGAAGAACTATGTCCCATTCCCTGAAGGAGCCAACATCCCAGCCAAGGCAAAGGATGTCGCAACCAAAACTTGGTTGCACTTCCGATTCAGCGAAAGTGAATGGACGGCTAGGATCAAGAAATGAGTTTGCCTGCATTGCCTGAAACCCAACCATAAAGTCCAAAGTTGTTATAGGCTGCAGGGAAACCCGAATCGGTCCAAAGTTGTGTTTTGCGATTTGAGCTCATACTCATTTGCACATTTTGTTATTTTACTGCTCAAATTTTTTGCACTCTTGAGTTCGCCATTTGCTAGGCTACCAGCCGAGCCGCCATCACCTTGTTTTCCCAGGCGGCCCGGTCGTGCGAGGGCCAAAGTTCCCAGCAAAAAAAAAAAAAAAAAAAAGGAAAGAAATCTGAAAAAAAATTATGTTATGCAGAAATAAACTGAACAACTTTTGTTTCAGGGTCACATGTTATGCAGAAAAATTAACTGAACAACTGTTGCCCTATTGTTGCATATTGTAACGGTGCAGACCAGAACAAGAACCGACCTCTCAATACAAAGTACAAGATAGTGTAGCGGAAGACTTAGATACCAATGATCCGAACAATCAATATTGCAATGCAGCCCTGAACATACATCATCATCATTCCATGGTGTGAAAGGGGTTTGGCGCTCACACAGGAAGACTGTGCCAGCTCCAACCATACACAGACGAAGAAGAAGGGGGTTAGACGAAGGAGAGGGGAAGATGCGAATGTCGTCAACACCAAGTCTTCGGCACAGGCCCAAATAGTCCCTCGTCAAAATGTCTGAATCCCAAATGTCGAGTCTGGATCCAATGTCGTCAAGTCTCAAGTCACAACTCTCTCTCTCTCTGTAGTAGTTCGCTGATGCTGAGAAGTCAGGTGGTGAGAGGGTGAAGAAGAGATGGTGGACTTAGAAGAGGAAGAAGGAGAACTCTCTCTCTCTCTCTGTGTCCAGTACTAACCTGTGAAGTTGGCGCCTTGATGCAGGTACCTCGAAGATGGAGCTGGAGCTATGGCGCCACAAGTAAGTACTGCTGGCCTCCGCCAGCCATCTCTCTCCAACGCTACTCCTACCACCTACTAGTGCCCAGCGCTGAAGACTACTGCTATGGCTACTAGCGCCCAACGCTGAAGACTACTGCTAGCGCTAAGCTACTCCCTGCAGCGCTCCTTCTGAGTGTTGTGGCCGAATCCTGAAGACTACTCGTGCCTACTGTCCAACTACCTACCCGTGAAGTGCATGGGAACTTCCTATGTACTACTAGGTGCCTCCTGACTGCAGGGCGAGGCAGTCCAGGAGGCTGCTCTTGCCAATGCCGCAGGGAGTCAGGGGCTGCCGCTGCAGCTCCTGCTTGAGGCTGTTGTGGGGAACAGGCCAGAAATAGCCTGTTCCCGAAACCCTGTTTTTGTGCCCGAGTCTTAGGGTAGGCCGATCTTATGAGGGCCCGAAAGTGGCCCTCCGTTTCAGGCTGAAAAACCCTGTTTTCGGTTGAAACGACATAGGGCCTGCAGGCCCTCGTTTTTCAGTCTTTCAGGCTGAAACGACTGGGGCCTGTAAGCCCTTGTTTCTAGGCTTTTAGGCTGGAAATGCGGGACGGGCCCTGCAGGCCCGTGTGGCTACGCAGTATGCCACACCCCCCCTCCTTGAAAGACCGAGCTTACCTGCGAGGGCGAAGCTGTCTGTCTGAGGGAGGGACCACAGTCCCGGTGGGAGGGGCAGGTCGTGAAGGTCCCTGAGCTAACCTTTGTCGCTCGTAGTGAGCGTAGATCAACGGTGCGGATGCTTTCAAATCTGTTCCTGAAATCCACCGAGTGTCGTCGGGACCGCATGCTTTGAATGTAACTTTGTACTGTCGAGGCTTGTTGCCGTACTTGCGATCCGTGATGACGCGGTCAACCTCCTGATGACCATCCATAGAAGGAGGGTCCTGCGATCGTCGGCCCGGAAAGTCGTCGCTCTTAGCTGGTGTGTATGTCGCCAGATTCGAGGCGTGAAAGACTGGATGGACCGTCAGATGCGGGGGATGTTGATCACAAATGAAGGGCCATCGGGCTCATCGCCCGCGGCTGATGTTACGGGCCATGGTCCAAACCACTTGGGAA